CTTTCCCTAAATTCACTACGTTTGCTCTGCGAAATGAAATGCAGCCCAGCTGTGCGTCAGGTGTCGCCCCCCGCCCCCCAGATCCATGCTCGCTCATGTTCCTTCTCATGCAATATGGTTGTCCTTGGCGTGTTAAGATTTATCACCAACGACTGTAAGCTGCCTGTCAGTCAGTCCTTTACATGACAAAGTGCTTCTTGCACTCTCTTGTTTACAGTGTTTGGGGACATTCTGACATGCTACCCAAGTGTTCGCCAGGGACTCTTCGATCCATGGTGGGGAACCGTTTGGATTCTGCAGCGGGCTGTGGGTGCTGGGCACAGAGGGCCCTGTTCCTGTGGGCCTGGGCCTCAGTTTCCCCTGCAGCAGGCTCGCCTTAGCCCCTCATCCGGGCAACTGCCAGGAGGGCCAGGGTCTTCTGGAGAAGGAAAGGTGGGAGGTCGATTGCAATCGCTCCTTATAAAACAACAAAGTCCTGTTTGTGACAGCAAGTGGAACCGGGCAAATCGTCGCGGCAGAGTCGTTGGGCACAGAGCACTTGCAACAGAAACCGTCGACCCAAACGCCAGTCACTGTCTTCTCAATTTCGCACCTTGATGCATCTAGAATTTGTTTTATGCATCTTCATCACTCTTGAGTGAGCCACGCACGTCTGTACCCTGGCATTCACGTGTTTCTTAAGATTTAAAATAAGTGACTAAAAAATTCCTCTGAAGGTTATTTTCTGAAAGAAAAAGAAAACCCCACCGCTACCTGCATTAATTAATTTCTGAGCGACTCAGGTGAATGCCAGAGCTGTGGACACAATTTCCTCACTCTGATGCAGCCTGAAGTAAAACGTATGTGAAAGGCCTGGTCCCTGCAGTGCAATGACGGCCCTCAGCAGCAAGCTGTGCCAAAGTGGATGGTGTGTGATAGGTGTGAGTGCGAGCACACACGCACACACACAGGTGTGACCCGGAAGGAGACTAGACTTTGTGGTCATAAACGTGACTGCTACTGTGGCTCCTGGAGTATGTCGAGTGTGACCTGCTTGGAAGGCGTGTATTCTGGAGGATTGGGACAGCCCAAGGCCCACCGCAAGCAGTCTGGCCAGTGTGATGTGTGACATGACCTATGTCTTTTCATTGAGAGGCAGTGTCTGCCCGAGTGACTAACATAGGACCTCAGACAGATCTGGGTCATCTCTCTGCCTTTGACGAGCATCCTTGGCATGGAGAGGCGAGCTCTATTAGGCGTTCGGCTCGTGGCCACAGGGAAGGGGGTCGAATTCCCTGAAATGTAACACAAAATTAACCATAGAATCCACATTTTACGCTGAGGAAGTGCTAGGATTTTCCCGAGTCTGCCTAAGTTTTAGATACTCTAAGCAAAAGTAACACAATTCGGGTTTTGAGAAACATTGTTTCATCATAATGTGACACCTTTATATTGTTTTCTGGGGAGAGCAGTGGCCCGTGTCAGTCACAAAGATTTTCAATCTTTATGTTTTTTTTTGTTGTTGTTGTTGTTTGTTTGTTTTTGCGAGGGGTGGGCGGGGTTGTACTAAAGCACTTTAACACCAGTTTGGGAGCAGAAGTTCTGGAAACTGGTTTGGAACTGCACAGCTATGTAGAATTTGATGAAAACCATACAAGGATGTGTGATCATCATCCAGAAATGTTATCAGCCCTTCGAGTTTTTGGACTATCCTAAGGAATTTCAGTAATGTACCCCATTCGAATAAACAGAAAAGGCTAATCTCATTGGAGTTCTCTTCATCCAAATGATTGCTTGGGTGTCTGAGGATGTGTGTGGATTGACTTTTGCACAGGGTGCTAGGTTTCCAAGTATGTTTGGTATAAGCTCTGTTTTCTGAATGTAAAGCTATTTTCTTCGTCATTTCTAAAAATCTGGTAGGTTTCTGGATATTGTAAAAACATCGCCTACAGGTGTAATTCTGTAAATTTCATAGTGTTTTATTCTGAACTGAGAGTTTTGTTAGTTTATAAGAGATATTTTCCTATTTGGACCTCAGGGCTATTTTGGGACCTACAAATAAATGTGACCCCAGGAGCTTCAGTTCTTGATATTCAAAAGGTTAATAATCTTTAAGTTATATATATTATTCAGCAGAAAAAGTGTGTCCCTTTTTGACTTCTGACAAATTATAAACATGGGGAAATTATGGCTACAGAATGAAAAATCACTCATGAAATAAACATATTCTTATGGTACAACAGTGTGATATTTGAATGAACCTAACTATGTATAAATTAGAAAATGAAACAATGAACTATACCAGTACTTTTCATGTCATTTATTTTGATCAAAATAAATGTACACTTTCTTCTTCTGACACACTTTTACTTTATTTTTTCAAAGGTAACATTTTTAAAATCATGAGTTACCCACGAATACTTTCTCATGCGTTCATCGCATCTCCTCATAGTCCACCTGTTTTCAGAAGTACACATGGACAGATAGACATCCTTCAGC